AGAAAGAAAGAAAGAAAGAAAGAAAGAAAGAAGAAAGAAAGAAAGAAAGAAAGAAAGAAAGAAAGAAAGAAAGAAAGAAAGAAAGAAAGAAACTTGAGCATATACAATGACAAAGTTTGGATCGGTTAATTTGGTCAGTTTAGGTAAACAGGACATCCTATGAGGGAGAAGGGACCTGTACATGAGATACTCATAGAAATCGATTCGGTTAACATTGGCCAGTGCAGCTACAACTTCTATTTGGTTGGATCTGTTTCAACATCCAAAAGGCATACTCAAAGTAATAATAGTACTAGTCCGCTGTTTTCAGAAGGAAAAACGAAAGGAAACAATGTATTATTTACACAAAAATGGCCTACTGGGAGAAGGCAGACCTAGGAACAGAACTCATGAATTAAGCCCAGACTTGGTCTACCAGTTCTCTCTAACCAAGCCCTTTGACTGACCTGTGGAAATCAATGCCTTTGGGGTTCGCTGAAGCACACCTCCGTGGGCACACGAGCCTCACTCAATAGGGACACTCAGCGGGGACACTGATGATTCCCATCACCCCTGAAGAGACTCCCCGTCAGGCCAAATTCCACTTGTCTCTTCACTTAGTGAAAGTGTCCACGACTGCCCCCTCTGGATGCTGCGGCTGCTGCCATGCGTGTTACTCCAACTTTCACAGGTACCCAGTCAAAAGAGCAGGAAGCATGCACAACTATGCCAATGAGCTCAAACGACAGAATCAAAATACTTCAGAAGAGGAAACCAAGAAGAAGTTAAATTCGTCCTTGCAGCTTAAGAAATAAAATACAATAATGTCATAAAGCAGAAAGCTTACGTACCTGTGGAAAAAAGGATACAAGAAAAGCACTTATCCCAATGTATCACATTTATTAGAAGTCCACTTTCCTTTAAAATGGCACATCTTTAGAGTGAGGGCTACTGTGAGCCATCTAGTAAGAATATCTTTTATGGGAAATAAGTTGTTAGGAAGAATATAGATTTTTTTTTTTTTTTTTGTATTTAGGACAGGGTGTACAGGGTCTCGCTGCATAGATCAGATTCATAGTGATCCTCCTGTTTACATCCCCCCAAGTGCTGGGATTACAGGCACACGCCACGACGCCCAGTCTCAATCACCATCTCAGCATGCCCCCGGGGTGGGACCAGCATGGCAAGCCCAGGGATCGAACTCACAGCCCCCGCATATGCCTAAGCAAGCACTTTAATCTGCTGAGCTATTTGGCAGGCCCTTAGATTCTATTTTAAATCCCCAAGATTGGAAAATGGAGCTTTTAACAAAGGAAAGGAAAATGACTCCAGAACTGGCACATCAGGGAGACAGCAATTTCTGTTTAATCTCTTATTAACAAAAGGGAGAGAAATTACTTTAACTGACACTAGCACAGGTTTCTGCAGAAGAATATAGCATGACAGCTAGAATGTGAAGCCTGGGAGGGTGCTGTGCTCTGTGGGGGGCACATACTTGCTAAATTCATGGACTTGTACAAGTTTATATTTGGCCAACTGCTGTCCTCACACCTGTTCGCTTAGGCATTAGACCCAAGCACTTGTAAAGCAAATGACTATATCCGTGCAGTGATAGGTAAAAATAAACTGGCCTATTTCTGTAACCCCATCAAAATGATCTGACTGAGTAGAAGATCTTATTTCACAGGATAAAGTAGTCAAATTAGATGTTTCCTCACGTTTTATGACGCATTTGTCTTATTCACTGTGTATAAAATAGCCAACTTCCATTCCAGGGGAGTGAGTCGAAATCAGATTTAATGCTGTTTGCTTAGGGGTCAAATATTAGTTTCGTTGCCTGTGATGCAAAGCTCCTGAATATGTTGTGATCTCACAGAGACCAGTGCGTGGTACATGACTGAGGAGGAACTGTCATCCACTGGGTGCTGCGTGCGCTTCATGGATAATCGTCGTACAGGTGGAACCTATAATCTGAAAATCCAAACCCCCGAAAGACTCCCAAATCTAAAACTTTTTGAGCACTGACATGAAAATTCCACACCATGAAATTTTGTCTCCTGCACAAAATTATTTAAAAATTGTATAACATTATCTTCAGGGTATTGTATAAGATAGATATGAAACATACATGAATTTAGAGTCTCATCCCTGAGTTATCTCTATATAAATGCAAATCTTCCCCAATCTCAAAAAACAAAAAAAAAAAAAAAACAAAAAACAAAAAAATCCAGAACACTCTGGTCCCAAGCATTTCAAATAAGGAATATTTAACATGTATTTCAATGTGGTTCAACCCTTTGATAATAAGTTCAGGTAGAAGTCGGGTAAGTCATTGTGTGTTGGAGTAAGGTTAAATGTAATACCGATCATTTCTACGCTAAAACACTTCCAAAAACAAGTGGCATCACTCCTCAGCCCACTGGTTTCCTACCTTGACCGCACTGGCCATGGATTCCTTGAGAGTTCCCCAGTGTGGCTGGCTGACCTGCTCATAGGTTTGGGAGGACTTGACCATTATCCAGTTCTACGTTTCTAAATAAGACAACTAGCCTTAAATGCCCTGGTGTGATTTCAGTTGGGCTCTGGTACTCCTCTTGTGTGCTGCAGAAAGAGAAAATTCCAGGAAGTTGTTGGTCAAAAGGAGAAGAGAACATACAAGGGAGACATGAACACCAGGATCCAGTCCTGCCCCAGCTGACCCACACCTCCCTAGGGGACGCAGAAGAGCTTGTTGTCTCAAGTCAAATGGTAGATGGGGGACTGGGTCACGTTGTTGTAATAAAACATCACCCCAGTGCCTTAGCACATGCCGTGCCTGTGCTGGGATTGCTCTTCCATGCCTGCTCTTTGCCTAGTGTGCTCCTACGCTTGCTTCCAATCTCAATTTAAATGCCCTGTACGCAGGGCAGAGGCTGAAGAGATAAACTCCCCTTTCCCCTCCTGTGTTTCTCATTTTGTCAGAGTAATCACATTTATAATTATTGACTTCACGTCATCCACCTAGAATGTCAGCTTTGGAAGGGACAGGAACGCAGTGTCATATTGGATGGAATGCTCCCAGCACACGGCACCTGTGCCTAACACAGGGGGACATCCATTAATACCTCTTTTTAAAATCCTTTATTTTATTTATTTATTTATTTATTTGGTACAGGGTTTCACTACACAGCTAGGACTCATAGTGATCCTCCTGTCTCAGGCTCCCCAGCTCTGAGATTGCAGGTGTGCACCACCGCCCCTAGTTTTGGTGGCCAGCTCAGCAGAGGACCAGCATGGCATGCCTCACCAGGGATGGAACCCTTGTCCTTGCACTTGCCAGGGAGGCACTTAGACTGCTGAGCTATCTCCCCAGCCAATATATACCTTGTTAGGAAGGCAATGCCATTCAACTCCTTAACGGTTGAGTAGAAAATTTAAATTTTTGAGTTTTAGCTTTCAGCCGCTATAATGTGAACATAATAACACCTATGTACTAAGGCACTGAACAAATCAGTCATTGAAT